TCCTTGAATAAGTGAAATTTGCTAATCTATATGCAAATAAAATGTCATCATATGTAAGTTCAATAAGCTAAAATGTCATCATAGACATATATTTGGGTAAACATGTAAGTTCAATTAATGTGATGTTATGAGACCTATTTATTGGACATATCATGTACTGCCACATAGAAGTATGTTTTAGTATCTACGGTATTATATAGCATTACTCTTTGAAGATGGATAAAACTAAAAACAAAAATAAAATGAAATTGTCTATATACTATAGTAAACATAAAATGAACATAGATCTCGTGCCAAATTGCTTCTAAAAATAGAAGAAAAACATGTAGGTGAAATTCGTTATAAGAAGCTATAACATTCCAATTTCAGTGCAAGGATCAATGTGTTTGTGTAATTTTTTTTTTTTTTTTGAAAAGTCAATTATCAATATGTTTGTGTAACATCCATTAGAGTTCCAATTATCTACTACAATTCACATTTTCAATTGACTCCAACAATTAAATAGGACATAAAGCAGATAGACAAGTGAGGTATTCGAAAGGAGCCATAAAATAAGTACAACCTCAAATAGATGTGTCACATGAAGTTAAAGTTATATCATTTCCAAAACTTATAGCAAAATGATTACAAGTATCCAACTGCCAACATTGTTTTACTTTCTCTTTTTGTTAGAGACAAGCAAATGAAGGCAAAAGAGATTGAACAGTGATACAAAAAATAATCAAGTTATGTACAATAACTAAATATATTCGTTACATTGTAAACGCAAATGGCCTACAAGTGCACTTGATTTCTATCACCCCAAGATGATAATCCTAGCCAATATGTGTTGAAACATTAACTAGGACATGAGTAGAGTATATAAACTCTAAATCCACAATAGAATCCAAAAACAAAATTAACATAGAGAGCACTTGATTTCTTGTGAACTTTTGAAGTTCAAACGCTCAGGCGGTTTCGAAGATTGCTATACTCTTAAACGTGGTTCATAGCCAGCAGCGATGCATGTAAAACAGACTCAACAAAAACTCAAACAGTGGTGGTGCATTTTGTAGTTGGCATGTTCTATTACAAGAAGTGGTTTCAAATCTCTTACTCCCTAAAAATGTTGGAATCAATCTACTCATAATTGTAATTTTCATTTCATTTTTTCGCATTCTTTAGTGCTATAATACCTCTAACGAATAACACTACTCCACATAGAAAAGGTTCACTTATCCTCATTATCTCAGAGTCCAATTAAGTCTAACACAATAAACATAAACAGTTGGCATCCTTAATTAAAAAATATGCGACTGAAAATAGCTATTGCTAAAACGGAAAACTTTGTTTTTGTATCGGAGGATAATTTCCAGAATGGAGGATCTTAGAAGTTATGAACACATGCGCAATAAAATAAATATTATATTTTCAATTGACTCACTTTATAATTTAAGATCAAGTGTTGCAACTCACATATTATACTAAAATAAGAACTGGATCAACAAATACATAACAAAAAAAAAAAAAAACTACATACTAGTAAACAGACAGCTTCAAACTTAATTAATAGAACTCAACAAGATTGAAGCTTGATTGGTAAACAGAGTTCACTTACCAAATCAGATGATGAGACTAGTGTAGTAGTGCTTATAAAATGCCTATATTCCTTGGAGGTTTACCATTCGAGGATTTCCTCAAATTAGCTATACCATCTTTCTCAATAGCAGCCACATTATCATCCTCGTTATATTCATCTTCTACGGCAGTAAACAAAGGTGAAAATCAGTGCCAGCAGCCATGTTGCTTCAAAAAACATCAATTTGCGTTCATTACACAATATGAGTGACCAAAAAGATCACTTTCTGATAAAAAAAAAAGTTTTGAAAAACTTTCTCAACACTTCTTTTAGTGCGAATCTAAGTTTTTGAAATTCCAGATTATGTTTTTCTGGGTTTGTTCCCAATGTCCAAAATCCTTTAATTGGGTATTTATAAAATAATTTTTTTTGGAGATTTCTCATTTTTCAAAATTTTCTGTTTGAAGGTAACCTGTAACCACATTTTCCTACAATAATATCTTCAAAATTTTAGATCTTCAGACCACCTATGTACCCGTCAACACTCTACGAAGAATTTCCTCTTTTCCAGAAAACAAAATGCAAAAAATTAAGAAAACACTAACATGAAGATATTTGTGACAGTCTCCGTCGGCGGTGGAGTGATTGATAGCGGTCGTCGATGGGTAGCGTTGGAGGAGTCGAATACCATAGGGGAGTCAGTGCTCGCCTTTTGCAGATTCGAATGATAGACGGGATTGAGTTTACCTTTAGTTAATTCGTCGGTGGTGAACGTTGTGTATGGAAGTGGTCATCGACGGTATGAAGGTGGACCATGGCCAACTACAGTGAGAGAGGAGAATTTGTGAGACCAGTTTCTCCTTCTTCTTTGTTTGGTCTTCTCACTTTCTTTACTGATTTTGTGTTGGTTTTTCCCCCCTTTATAGTCCCCCTGACATTTCACAGTTTTTTGTACAAATTGGTGACTAGTCATGTCTCATTTAATCAAGGACATAGAAGGGATTCAAATTTGTCTGAGGGGCAAAAAAGACCAAAATTGACAATTTTGCAATGAGTTTTAAAAAGTGACATTTTTGTAAATGAAAATCCAAAAGTTGACTATTTTGGTAATTTTCACTAATAATAATAATAAGAAGAAGAAGGAGGAGGAGGAGGAGGAGGAGTTAGTCAAAATTAAACCAATTTTTCACCAATTTAAACTTTTTGAGAAGGGTTTTTCTACTCTGCAGTTTATTCCTATTTAGTAGCAGGAGCGAGTCTCAAAAGAGCCTTGCTACAGGCCTGTCCGTCTCTTTACGCAACAATCAGGCGGCGTAAAGATGTTAAGAAAATTTCTGCTCCAAGCTTCCACTCGCCGTAATTTTTCAGCTTCTTCCTCATCATCAGTCGCATTCTTTCGACAATGTTCCTCGTCCTCTTCTTCCTCCTCTCAAATTCCAAACAGTCATTTCGTCGAACACATGGAGGACACCAATGAAACCCCACCTTCTGCTACAATTTCTATCGACCGAACTGCCTTGTATAATCCTCCTGGTATTAGAAAGATATATACATATGATTGTGTTTTTCTTATATGAAGTTTAGTGTGATGGGTTTGGATTTGTTTATATGTAGAGCAATCACATGAACAGTCTGCTGAATCTGAGCTTGTTAAGCACCTAAAGAATATCATCAAGGTAGTTGATCTTTTCTGGGAATACTATCCAGTTTATTCTACTGTTTCAACCTTTCATATTGGTTCTGTGTAATGAGAAATTTACGGGTGTTTGATTCTTTTGTTTACCATTAGTTTAGAGGGGGGCCAGTTACTGTGGCTGAGTATATGGAGGAAGTCTTGACGAATCCAAAGCTGGGGTATTATATAAATCGAGATGTGTTTGGAGCAGATGGTGATTTCATTACCTCCCCAGAAGTGAGCCAAATGTTTGGAGAGGTAAATTTGAACTACTTCCTCTAGATTGTATGGGACAAGTCTAGTTTTAGTTTTCTTCCATTTTTGTGGCATTAAAAAGACAAAAGTGGAATTAGAATCACTTGAACATATCATGCTCTGATTAATTCGTCCTTTTTACTCTAGATGATTGGTGTTTGGGCAATGTGCCTCTGGGAGCAAATGGGAAGGCCAAGTAAAGTGAACTTAGTTGAGCTTGGACCAGGGAGAGGAACTCTCTTGGCTGATTTTCTACGTGTATGGATTCACAGTTTATACTTAGTTAATCTCATTCAGAATATGTTAATGGCCCTATAATTCTTATTGTTATGTTTGGTGTTGTTAGTAAACTTTGAAGTTCAAATTTCAACTAATCTCAAGTGCAATTTTATCTATAGGGTGTGTCAAAGTTCAAAAATTTCACAGATTCTCTGCACATTCATATGGTTGAATGTAGCCCAACATTACAAAAACTCCAGTATCGGAACTTGAAGTGTGTGACTGAGGATAGTGCTGATGGAAATGAGAAAAAAGGGATTAACAGCACAATAACTGGGTCCCCTGTATCCTGGCATGCATCTCTCGAGCAGGTTCCTACAGGATGTAAGGAACTTGTATACCAAGCTTAATAACTTCATTGTGTTCGGCATTGTATATGTTAGAAGTATGTTTTTCTCTAGCAAGCTCAGCTGCTTCTCGAAGCGAGCTGGTCTATTAACTCGTACACAAGTCTATAAGAAATTCTCATTTCCTTGTCTAAGATGAAACCCAAGCATGTACTTGACACATTTTATTTCCTCTTATGGCCTATCTAGTGCACCCTGCTCTTTTCTGTAACATCTAGAACATTGAGTGATACTGCTTCGTCATGGCTACATCATATTACTGGGAGAGGAGTCACTGGATATAATTAGAGAAGTACATTTAAGATATGATCACCTTACAGTATCATTGAAGGTTTTTTGAAGATCTTTCATTGCTATTTCATCTCATTGAGACATGAATACTTTTTTTCCCCCTTCTTTCAGTGCCTACAATCATCGTTGCCCATGAATTCTTTGATGCTTTACCCCTGCACCAGTTTCAGGTATGTGTATAAACCCCTGTGTATAATTGGCTCTTCCAGTGCTACGAGTTTCGACCACAGTGAGATTTTGCTTTTAACTGAATGCCATTTCCCTTCTAAATCAACTTCGAAATAGCATTTAGCCCCCGTTTAATTCCCATTATTTTCAAAATGCATTTCTCTCTTATTTTCAACCACATTTTTCAATAAAATAATATTAAATGCAAATTCAAAACTTTTTCTTATTTTTTTAACCACGCAGTCTCCATCAAATCACTATTACAAAATGCATTGTTGACAAATAATGGGAATCAAACAAGCCCTTAACTTTTATTTGTGTTATAAGATTTGACATTGTTCCAATGTGCTCAAGCACTTGTATTATAAGAAAATGTTGGAGCTTATTTGATGCAGCGAATAGTTCTTATTATCTTCCCTAGGATTGCCATATAAACAAGTTGTGTGGCAAATCTTGTTTTAGGGATTATCTGCAGCCTAAGCATATGATTCATTTACGATTTGCCTGCAGAAAGCTTCCCGTGGTTGGTGTGAGAAGATGGTTGATGTTACTGAAAATTCGTCGTAAGCTTTTGAATCCTCTGTCATTGCTTCTCTAATTGCGTGCATTGTTTGGTAATATAGTTTCTTTTGAAAATCGTTGGTTAGGTTTCGTTTTGTTTTATCTCCACAGCCCACACCTGCAACTCTCTATCTCATGAAGCGCTGCAAATGGGCTGACTCAGAAGAAATTTTCAAGCTTGATCATATCGAGGTTTGCCCAAAAGCAATGGATTTGACCCAAGAAATCTCCAAAAGAATAGGAATCGATGGTGGTGGTGCTCTCATAATTGATTATGGCCTCAATGGAGTAGTCTCAAACAGTCTACAGGTTCGTAGCTTCTGGATCTCACACCCTGAACACTTCCACTAGATTTCCGAAGATTTTCGCAGACTATTCTGATGTTTTCTTTACTCTATAAACCTAATTGAAATGCACATATGAAAGGGTGAAATGAACTTTAGGACTGCAATAACAATGATACATTGAAAATGATCCTATTTACAATAAGTGTCGAGTACAAATTACCCATAACATGAAAAAATCTTTAAGTACATCATCCGCGTTGCCTAGTCAGTAATGGAATATTATTAATGAACTAAAAAATTATAAGGTATTAACATTTCTCTGATAGCAGTAAATGGAAGTACTATGCCTGTAGTTAGCTTCTTGTAATTGTCATTTGTCTGCTGGCAGCCATTATCTCTACTTATCTATATTAGCATTCCTTTAGCAAAAGAGGTCACAGCTTATGGTTCAATGTTGCAGGCAATTCGAAAACACAAGTTTGTTGACATATTGGATAATCCTGGCTCAGCCGATCTCAGTGCATATGTTGATTTTGCTGCAATTAGACACTCTGCGGAGGAAGTTTCAGGTTTTTCTCTTCATTTTTATGAGCTTATATTATTTGTGTTTTTCCAGTAAAAGATCAAAAGACGAGCAGTTACTATGAGAAACATTCATAAGAATGATGGGCTCTCTTTTTTCAAACTCTCTTGCTTCAGGTGTGTCTGTCCATGGCCCGATGACCCAGTCTCAGTTTCTTGGTTCTCTTGGAATTAATTTTCGGGTGGAAGCACTGTTGGAAAACTGCACAGAAGAACAGGCTGAATCTATAAGAACAGGATATTGGCGTTTGGTTGGTGAAGGTGAAGCACCATTTTGGGAGGGTCCTGACAATCAGACTCCTATTGGCATGGGCACTCGGTATATGGCAATGGCAATTGTCATGTGCTTATTATGCAGTGTCGTTTTCCCATGTCATGTGCTTATTATTAATGAAATGTTGATATCAATATGCGAAGAAGAAAATGTTAAAAACATAATCGTTAGAATAAAAAATAAAAAATAAAAATGAAAAACTTGGTGCAATTAAAATGTGGTGCATAACATCTGGTTTGAATATAGTACCCTTTCCAAAAATGGCCATTTTCCGAAATGTACATGTGAAAGATGACATTTTTATCAAATTTCCTCTAATTTTTTACTTTTTTGTTTCATGGACTACAAGATAGTAAAATCTAGGGACTTTTATTATACTTGATAGCTCTGGGATTGATCAAGAGCATTCAATCAGGCTGTTGAAAAACTCCACGGAAATGAAATTCAGGTTTTTTCCAAAGAAAATACGTACTGCTTAAATTAGCTTATAAAAGAAAAAACCAGCCACTGCACTGGCACACCCCTCAGCCACCACCTCCCAGTGGCCGAGACAGCAACCCTCCCCCAGTAGCTCTGCTCCAATTAGTGCTCAAAGAATTGATATCATAGATTTATGAGAATGTACGT